GCCGGGACCGTCCCGCGGGAGCGCCGCGCTGCCCGCCTCGCCCGAGCACAGCATCCCTGCCGGCGTCCCCAGGGATGAGGGGACAGCTCAGAAGCTGGGCGGAGGACACAAATGAGAAATGAGGATTTTCTGGAACAAAATACATGCGTGGGGTTTTAACTTATGTGGGTTTTTTTTGTTGAGGTTTGAGCTTTTTTTTTCTTCCCCCACAGCTAAAAAGTCAGCGTTCAACTAGCTTGCTATGAATTTTTATCATTATGCTCTTGTGTTTTTAGGTTTTTAACATAATTCAAACTTTAGCCACCTTAAAAGCCACGCTGTTAAATGTTCCACAGTTAACAGAGTTGTGTATGAAGCCCCTTCGTCCCACTTTGCTTCTTACCCTAGAATCTGACCACCTATCATCCCAGTCCAACCAAGGCAGGTTTTGTTGTTTTGTTTTGTTTTTTTCTGGAGCACTCCCCACAGCAGAAGAAGGAAGAGTTCAATTGTGGCAAAAAGCGATCAGCCCCAGACAAAGCAAACTGCTTTCTAAAAATATCAGAGAAAAAAAAGAAAAAAGGGCTGGGAGAAGCCTTTGCAATAATCACATGGTGAGGAGGGTGTTCCAGACCAGGGGCAGCAGAGACAGTCAAGTTTGTGAGGATGGCATAAGGCTCCTGGCTAGGCAAGCAAAAGTTTCACCTGGCTCTGTTCAGGGGAGTAAGACAAAAGAATGGAAGTTCTTTAGAGCTTTAGCAGGTCTTATCTTATAGGTCTTGTCTCCTTAAATAAATCATAAGAAACCAGTGTAAGTTTCTTGAGAGTCATGCTGCAAACCAGAGAGTGGGCTTTGTGTCAAAACCACTCAGTTCAGAAACCTCCCAGTGGCCATAAGCACGGCAAGCTTCAGCCTTGACAGGGGAAGGGACAAACTTGTCCCTGCTGAGGAAAGGTTTTTAGCAAGTCAGCAGCTTTGGTTTGGGGGTTGTGCGTGGTGGAAGATGGGAGGCAGGTGTGTCTGGGCTGCAGGAATTAGATAAAGGCCAGTGCTTTACCTGTGCTGGGACTTGGCTTTCCTGGCCTTGCTCCTGTCTGAGTGGGTGTTTGCCAGGTCTTGCTTCTTTTTCTTGGAAAGAGCTGGTTTGGGCTGTAGTTTGTAAATGCTGCTGGAGCCTCCTGTTGGGGTGCTTCTGCTCAAGGTCTATCAGGGCAGCCAGGTGGTTAAAAGCCTCTGATCTCTGCATTACATACTGAGGTGCAGAGAGCCTGCAGAAGAACTTGAGCTTCAGACACCTGTACCTTATTGAGCTGCAGAGAGTGTGAAAGGTGCATTCAGTCGGGCTCCTGCTGCGTGCCTTGGTTTTCAGTCTGCCTGGCAGAGAAGATGGATGTGGCCTGGGTGCCTCTGGGTCAGCAGCCTTGCTTTTGCCTTTTGAGTACTCTGCAGCTGACTCTCAGGACAGCAAGAAGGGCACCATATGGCACAGTGCATTATGGTAATTAACCTTAAAGTGACGAATGCTCAGGCCACGATTTTGCTGTCTGTCAAAGTGAACCTAGGGGTTTGGCAGGTGCAGGCTGGGGAATGGTTAGATGGACCATGGGGCTTAGATGGTGTCTGAGAGGAAGCACTACATCAAAGATGATACCTAACTCCAAGATAATTAAGAAGTTGGCCCATTGTGAAGAATGCCAGTGAACGATGCAGTGCTGGTATCCAAGCAAACAAGGGCAATCCAAGGACCAAAGTCAGAGCCCAGATTAATATCTTTTATGATTCTTAACAAGGCTTGGTTCACTACGGTGTCTTGATTAAAAGAAGAGAGATGGCCAAGTGTTTTGGCTGCACTCAGAGCTGCAGAGGCTTGAGACATTAGTGCTCAATTGGCTAGCAAGGACAGGGTAGGATTTTCGCTGTATTAAAGTTAATGCTCACATTTATTTAGGTAATTGTTTGGATTTTTCCTAGACTGTCTAAAGCCTTTAGCTATTAGGATGCTAAATCAGAATGGAATTGATCAGAGGGAGAGAAAGAAGCTGATTTTGAGGCACGTTAGATTATTATATTTGCAGAATAAGTAAGCTTGGAGAAAAAGAGCAAGGACAGAGTACGTGTTTAAGCAAGAGGGACAGTTGCAAACTCCCAAGTTGAAAATGTAATTTAGGTTCCTCTAGGTTTCTCCACATTATGAACACTTCTTAATTTGACAGTGCTGCTTTCTGAGGAGAGGTGTGGAAATGGGGTGCTGCTTGTGCTTCCAGCAGAGGAGCAGAGTAGATGCTGTGCTTAGGTCCCAAGTGATCACATTGATTTCTTTTTGTGCGAGGGCTTTTGGAAGTCAGGCTTAAATCTAGAAGACTGTGCCTTACTACCTCATCTGAAAAAATAAAAGAAATTACATAGACTGGCTTGTACATGGGTCAGAAGTAAGTGATTTGATCTGGCATTGTTAACCAGGTTTAAAAGCAAACAACCAAAAAGTCTTGTAAGACTGACAATCCAGGAAGTATAAAACTCATGCAAGGTAAAGCCAAACCCAGATGACCTCAGTGGTACTTCCAGCTGTGGAGATCTGTCCTGTGTTGCTCTGACAGTGAAAGCTATTGCCATTTATCATGGCAGTTCTGCCAGTAAAGGCAGAATCTGCTCAGGAAAAGGCCTGTATGTTTCCACTGAGATTTTGCTGAGGTAAACATTTCCATATCAGATATGAAGAAAGCATTATTTATTTTTAAAAGAATAACATGTATCTGGTGTAGAGAAGTAGCTTGATACCTTAAAACCCAGATGTTTTGCAAAGAGGGTCATAGAAATTGTACTTCTGAGATATTTTTCTCTGTTGCATCCCCCAGCAGTACCAATGGGCATCAAGTGACATGGCAGATTGCTGAGGCAGATGAGGTAAAACTGACACGTAGAGTTAATAGCATTTGACATGAATCTCTTAATGATATCTTCCCAAGGAATGAGCAGACTGATAAATGGCTCAGCCAGAAAGCAAGAAACTGGTCTCTTGAGTTCTTAATGTTCTTATGGAAATCTCTGAAGTGCATTTTAACTGGAGCAACAGATTTCTTAATGTGCTCAGTCATGCAGGAGCAAACATTTACTTGCCCATGCCTTGCAAAAAGATGGTCTTCTCATATCTGAAAGGCTGACACATCTTAGTATTGCAGAAGGAGCTCTGCTGCACGGGTTAGTTTTAGAGCAACTGGTGCTAAACCAGTAGGATGAGGTGTGGTACACTGATGGCCTGACATGTCAAACTTCTCATGTAAATTAGCAGGCTTCTAGTTTGGGTTCAAAGCCAAGATTTCAACACATCAGTCAAATAGACCTTGTTATGTTTGCAGAAGAGGAGAACTGAGCGTTCTCAGCTTCCTGCAGTGTTAAGATTGCCTGGGGTGGTGTGTTTCGCTTCTGGAAGGTAATTGGGCTTGAGTTCTCCACGCATAGTGAGTTTTTATTTATTATTTAGGTTCTTTCTGTTGTTACCTAGCTAGTGCTAAGTGTTTCACAGCAGAAGACAGCAGCTCAGCTTCCAGGCTAGCTCAGTGTTTTGAGGGTTAGGGTTTGTTCTACTGCTAAGCTGAATCAGTTGAATTCTTACATTCTTCACACATCTCCATTTGCTTGTTTGTATCTGCCATGCTACAAAGCTTCACTGAGTTGTTTTGTGTGGAGGATTTTGAACAACTTGACTGAGAACTTTGATATTACTGTATGTTTTATACTGTTATTTAGCTATTTCCCCTTTAGTGTGTAATACAGATCATGATGAGATGTGCCACAGAAGTTTTCATTTCAATTGTGTACAGTTACACTCCGTTATGAAGCAGTTGCTTTGCTGAAAATATCATTATTTCTTCTGCTTTTTGCAGGACCCTGCGGGAATATTTGAACTGGTGCAGGTTGTTGGGAATGGGACATATGGACAAGTCTATAAGGTTTGGATGCCTCTTTAATTTATGATGCTGCTCTAGATAAAGCTGTTTTTCCTAAAGGAGAAATGAACACCACTGAAGAAGATGGACAGTATTGTTCCAGTAACAGCCTGGTTTGTCTTGCTGTCTTTTCTGTGTAATTCAGGATGGTGTCACCTGTGAAACTCTGTGCCCCTTCCTTCTGTCCTGTTTTCATGTCTCTTGGCCACCACAGGTCAGATAGGTGTGTTGGCTTTTGTACTGACCTCCCTCTGCCCTGTTTTTCGTGTCCTGTGGTTATTTTCTCTTTTTCAAAACCATTTAATAAGTGGCCAGCACAAATTAACATCAGTAGTGGCTAAATTTGGCCTGGGTTGAGCAGAGAGCTCAGCCTAGACTAAACCAGCAGTGCTCTTCAAGATGTGGATGTCAATTAACCCTGCTCTGCAGGCAGGCCATGAAGCTTTTGATTTCTATTATCACTGTTGCTGTTACGATATCAGAGCAGAACTACTAGTCAAGAAACTACAGAAATTAAACATTGTCTGCCCTAATAGGCTGTGTAATCTACTTGGAGCACACCTTGAGTTCGTTAGAACTAGCCTAGAAAAGTGTCCTTTCATTATGAAGCCTTTTTTAAGAATGATCTGAGAAGATCGAAGACTTCGCAAAACAGGGAACTGAGTCTGTGGTGTTCCCATTTGGAGAAGGAAGATGGAGGGAGGGAAGCCCATGCTGCTGAACCCTTGG